CTCAGAGCGATAAGGTATTGGTGACCTCAGGACAAGCAATAAAAGATGACAGATCATTGAACAGTAGGGTGAATGTACTCCCAGGCCAAGCGATAGATGATGATTGCTCCATGAGCTGTAAAGTGAAGGCATCCCCAGACCAAGCAGTTGAAAACATTACCAAGTCCTTGAATAGTGAGATGGAGTCTCAGCAAATTGATCTTCCACTGACAGAAATGGTCATTGTCAATCACAAGGTCTGCGTGTCAGATGTAACTGCCAAACAATCTAACATCCAACGTAATTCTTATCTTATGGCCAGAAACCTGACAGACAGACTAAATTTGATCATGACATCATCCAAATTAGCGACTTTACAGAAGCGCATGAAATTTGTAGCCGCATTGATTGAAGCTTGGGAACGAGATGCAGAAGTCTCAATTGTGGTCCGTAATGATGGCAATGCTGCAGTGGTCCGGCAATCTAGTCAACACCACCAAGAGCCCATTGAATTTGATGCAGCATCAGAAGTAAGTTTACCCTTGTGAATCTAACTCTAATTTCAATATACTGTACTGTAATGCCCTGTGATTGATTTACTCATTTTTAACTACTAAGTCTCTTTGTTGCTTTAGTTATCACTGTAAAAATATAAATAGAATATTGTAATTTTAAGGGAATTCAGTATAACTAATGGCAAGTATTCAATATTAGTTGTTTAATAAGGTTTTCTTGTCCTGTACAGAGCATTATTGCAGAGCCTCACGAGCCCAGCCAGTGTTCTTGTGATAATGCTCTTCCAGATGCTTACTTTCCCCTGGTAATGTTGACGGAGGAAACTGAGGCGTGCAGTTGTGATGACGTGGATGGCAATGACCTGGCAATATCCAGGAGTAAGCTTCAAGAGAATGAGAAAGTTAAAAAAAGATACACTCACATGGAAGTCCTTAGATCTCTCAATCCTAAGCTACGGACCATAAAAAGACATGGAAGACCGAGAAAGAAAAGAAGCTTGAGCAGATTCACGAAGTGGCACGCATCACACAAAAAAGAGAGGGAAGAGTATTAGATTCAGATTAACAGCTGTAAAAAGAATAATTAAAATTCACTAAGACAGTATTAAGGATTTGATTGCAGCTTACCAAATATAAGGGTACACGAGGTTTTTAATTACAGTTGCTTGAAAGTTTAGATAATTACTGTATCCAAGAATTAACTGTGATAAGGATACAATACTTTTTTTGAAGGGGGGGGGGGGAAGGGGGCGGGAGTTCAACTGGAGAACACTTTGCATGTTGGCTTGAAATATTCAACACTTGTCTATTATTGTAAGTTAAAGGCTCCTTTTGTATTTAGGACATGTAGCTCCCTGGTGGCAACTGTTCAGCACAAGCATTTTGACCCACGTGCACTTGAATACCCCCATACACTACTCTTCCATGTTTGTATCATGCTATATATCATTGAACAAAAATGTTACATTATTTTTAATAACTTCTTAACATTAAAGTTATGTAATAGTCTTTGCCTTTTTTGAAGCCATTGTTGCACCTACAAAAACCTGTACAACAGCTAGATCAGACAGCAGTCAAATTTATCATTTACACACCATGAGAACATTAGCTTTTATACCTTTATACCTTGCCTGGAAATAGCTAGACACAAATTCCATCCATAATTTTTAAGTTCATTTGAACACGTGCACCATCCTCAAAATGGTCCACTATTAATTTTTTTTATTATTAATACTGTATTCTAAACTACTGTACAGTATACAGATAAACCTTCTAAGCTGGACCATTATCAAGACACAGGCGACTTGATAGTGGTCCAGGACGAAACGAAACGTCGTCATCGCCTCACCTTCTGGTGTGTTGTTTGGTCATCACAAGATAAAATTCATTTAACGTTGGGGTTAGGTTGAAAAACTGCGACCTTAACTGAAATGACATTAAGTGAAACCTAAACCTTCATAACTCTAGTGTTATAAGTGAGGGTTACAGTCATATGGTACTGGAAAAGATGATGTTTGGTTATATTTTGCTCGCTCACCCGTATCATACCTACAGAGCACTTTTAGCTTGGTTTCTAATGATAGTTTTCCTGTTTCTTTGTTCTTTCATTAGGATTACTACCTGTTATAGGCTATGTACCTGTCATACCTTCTTGAACAAGGATATTTGTTATTAGTAATGTTGTGCTTTGAACTTGCACACCTTGTATATGTCCATGATCAACTGGCAGGATGCATTTATTTCAGCAGCAGCCAAATTCACTCAATAATTTAACATAGCCATACATAGCCTTCCCGGTTTGGTGCCTTCTTTTGATAATTACTTACTTACTTACTTAACATAGCCATGTGGTTGTATTATATTATTCAATACAGTATTATATAATTTTTATGTACAGTACTGTATTTTGTGCTATTTTCAGTAAACAAAAAAATAGTTTTTACTACAGTATAAATAGTGTTCAGTTAAGATATTTATCTTAGCCCTCATGTACTGTAGTTTGTTTTCTGTAAGCACAGTGATCTAAATGATTTTCCCCATCTTCTATCAGAACTTAAGAAAAAAAGTAGGACCGTTTCCTGTCTGATAAACTTGTTTTCTAACGACATTAACCGGGGAAATGGTAAACTAGGTTCACCTGTATACTCTTTCTACGTCGTGTGTAATACTCATAGAAAATCAGTCAGTGAAAATGCTGCAACTGTTTTCACAATGGTCGTCGTTTTAGGGCACACACCATGTAGAGCTGAATTTAAAAATCAATGTGACATAAGCGGTGCATCTTAAGTTTTGTCCCCTCTGTGGTGCCTCCTTGCCATGGTGAGGGGCTCACGTACACCTCCCTGGGACCGGAGTGGGTTGCCTTTGCCCCCTCTTTGGGTGGTGTACGTGCAGAAGGGCACCACGTAGGGGCCTTGTGAGCCATTGGACCACCCGCTGGAGGGGTCGCCCTGTGAGGAGACGCCCTGAGTGGATGGTTGGATGTCCAGGCTGGGACGATAGGGGGAATGGGGTTCTGGCAAGGTTGTGTATTGGCCATACTCGCTTAACTCATGGTCACTTGATGGAGGGCCACCTTGCTCCTTATTGTCCTAATTGCATTGTCCCTCTTACAGTCGGTCGTGCATATCCTTGTTGAATGTCCTGACATCCGGGACGAGCGTGTCTTGTTTTCTGACCGTCCCCTGCGATCGCTTGTCCCTCGATAGTATTCTTGGTGACTCGGATACTTTTGATATCATTTGCCTTATGCGTTTCTGTTCTTGTATTGGCATCCTTGGTGGTATTTAGCGCCCTCTGATTATCCCGCACATTTGATGGTGCTACATAGCCTTCCCAGTTTGGTGCCTTCTTTTGATAATTAATTACTTTCAAGCATGACAAAAAGATATCCAGAGACATTGCAGTAGCCATACACAGACTCAGACTTGGATACAAGTGCTGCTGGGTGGTAATAAACCCAATAGTTAAAGAGTGTCATATCTATGGAACAGAAACGCCACTATTGTACTACTGACTGGAATGTGAAGCTACTGAAGCCCTGCACATCAAACTCAACATTAATCCAACGACAGCAGCTGCATTAGATGCACATTCCACAGCGACTACAATGATTAGAAAAGCAGTTAAAAGAATGGGACACTCTAGTGAACATTCTGCACCTACATCCGCCACCAAGATGATAATATTAAAACAAAGACAAACAGAAGTGAAAAAGAAACCCCACCTCCATTTAATACTTTGACCCAAATACTAGAGTAACAAATCCACAAGGGCTGTGACGAGGGTGTGGATTTGCCTTGTGGGCCCTTGTGGATGTGTTCATTTGATGCATCACTCTATTGTGATTTGTGTGTGTAACCAGATTATCGCAAATAACCAAACTTAATTACAAGTTCACCATAGCCCGTGCTAAATGGACATTTCATTCCGAGTAGCTAAATCTATATACAACACATTCTAAATCTGAATTATGCAATTTGAAACCATTTTTTCCCCATGCCCTAATGGTTTCTAAAAGTATCTTGCATTAAACCTTCACCTGCTGTACATGCCACCCATTGTTAATGTTGGGAATAAGTTCCTGTAAAACTTGTCAAGCAAAAACTGTAAATCAACTTAAAAGTAGAGTACAGTATATAGGAATATTGGACAAAAAACTCCCCAAAAAAACTCAGTCCTTTTGTTTTCAACTTTACTCAATAAAACACTCATTTGATTGTTAATAATTAATGATTCTTCAGCTTTCTAGTAACATGATCTAGTACATCATGATGTCCAGAACTCTTTGGATTTTTGTAATGCAATTAAAAATAAATAAATGGCAGAAACAAGAAAAGTGGAAGTCTAAAGCAATAGGACAAAAATAGGTTGTTTTCATAGGTTTCAACAAAACACTTTAGACTAACGAGAGCATCCAATAATCTTCACTAAACTCGGGCACACAGGTAAGCATTTACATGCAGTATGCAGAGTACATTTTCTCCAATAACGCACCAGTCTAGGGCATCTTTTACACTTTGGTAATGTCCCATTATACTGCTTCTACAGAATGCAAATTGAGATTTCTTGGTTCATTTTGGAGGTTCCTAAAGCTTTAGATAATCTGTATGGCTATAGAATATAGCTATACAGATTATAGCCATATTATATTCTTGATAATCTAGTGTCTAAAACTGCTACGTAAACCAGTGGGGGGGGGGGGGATTCAACATAGTTAATTCAAGATATAAATTTTAGTTACCTCTTGGCCTACTTTCGGACATTTATGCATAATCTTACATATTTTAAAGACCTTCTTAACATGATGGATCTTTTAAAAATGTATTTACTCCAGATTTCATTTAACAGATCAATGCTCAACTTCAATATTTATGATAATGATAAAAGTACTAATATTTCATATATTTATGATTAAATAAATATTTACAAGATTTTTCTTTCAACCAAAAAAAAAATATAACTTGTAAAGCGTTTAAGAAAAAGTTTCCTCTTGGCAGTGCAGAACAGAATTCTGGTAATGTCAACTTAAGAAAAACCTAAACAGATTACTGAAGACTACTTTTACGTAGTGGTAAAATAATTACAACTACCCTGTACTAATATTGTGAAACAAATTTTCAAGACTACACGTTACAAAATACTAATGAAACTTTAAAAGTAAATATAAGGACAATATAGTACTTGGACAAGGAGCTGGAATATAATGACAATGCCCAACCACGTGTTCCATTGGGAATCCAACGCTGACCTTGCAAGATACAAGACCTTCACTTCACTCACCAATCCCTATGTATTTATTAATTTCAAAACATCAAGCAAGTTCATTCTAGATTTAAATTGTATTTTAAATTAATTTACTGTGTAAATTGTCATTACTGGTCATTATTCCCAAATAGTTAGAGTTAGGCTATGGACCTAATGCCGCAACTGTTATTATTATGGGTTATTCAGCAATTTTTTTTTTTTTTGCATGTCGGAACTCAAATTGACTTTTATAATCCCTTTGGGTGCTCTATTTTAACAGCAACATGCTTGCAAAATTACAACGTCGACAACTTGTTACAGTTACATAACGTTTGGTCATATTTTGCTATTACTTCCGACTCGTCTCTTGAGCCATTAAAAGGCATACCCCAGAAAAAACAAATTCTTTGGATAAAATGCAAGTGAAAATATAGTTTTGGCTACCATAGCCATTCCATTTATGTAAATTATAAATACTGTATACATATCCAACATGTGATAATGTGCTTAGCCTAATTAAAGACTTCTATAAATATAAAAATTATGTATATATAAATACATTTAGATTCATATAAAAATCATTGGATTACAATCTACTCATCAAATTTTATTTAAAAGCAATACTGAAAAGTTACTTAAAATATTTAAACAAATAAAGCATTAATTTAAAAAATTCTGCATATTAAAGTGTACCTTCAAGTAAGTGTAACTACAAAATAGATCTAATCAAATTATAACACTAATCAATAGAAGAATATGCTGACTTGTACAACACACAACAGAATCAATATCAGAGCATTGTATTTATAAGTGTATAAACTATTCATAATACCGATTATGTAGTCAGTGTGAGCCATGGCTAATGTTCTTTAAGCCGAGACAAAGGTCCATAAGACTTCTGTGGAATCAACACTGGTCACAATTATCCAATGCCAACCCGTTCTCGCAAATTTAATAAGTCAATATTAATATTGACTTATTAGTTGCGTGCATAGGTGACATACTAAACATAATAGTTTCCCTTGAAAAGCTTCATAGAAAACACCGACCTTACCTAACCTACTTAGTATGTTAAAATAAGCATCTTATAGCTTCGTAATTACAATTGTTACTTAACCTATTATAGGTATAGGTTAGGTAATAATTGTAATTACAAAGCAATAAGATGCTTATCTTAACATACTAAGTAGGTTAGGTAAGGTCTGTGTTTTCTATGAAGCTTTTCAAGGGAAACTATTATGTTAAGTATGTCACCTATGCACTTATTAAATAAGTCAATATTGACTTATTAAATTTGCGAGAACTGGTTGCCAATGCACACCAATAATTTACTATAACTGGCATTTATATATTAACACAGTTTTGGAGTTAGGGCACTTTGATACGTATGGCAAGATGAATTTATGAATTAATTTGTAATAACTATTATGCTACTTTGTGTAACTATATTACCATGTATGAAGAGAGGGCCAACACCATGTTGAATATCATCTCGACTCAAAACTGGTATTAGCATAAGCTGGGTGCATATATATATTAACCCGTACATATTCCGAAGCACTATATACACAATACATCTTGATATACAAAATACATTTATGATAAAACATGCATAATACAGAAAAGATAAAAGTATCTTTTTTTTTAAAAGAAAAGATTACCTAGAGGAAAAGATACTTAGCTCAAGTAAGCACAATGCAGATCTAATAAATAAAAATACACACATGAAATACATGTTGAGTCCACATGTGTTTTGATGCCGGGGGCAGATCATAACTCTCACAAAATGGGTACACCTTAAAATTGTCAAAACATGGGTCTACCCAAACCATCATCACAATATACAATAAGACCTTATAGCTGTCACAGTATAGGGGGAAGGCAAACCTTTGAAGTCACTATGGAAGCACTGTAACACTATAGCTTATTGCAACAAAAACCATTCAATTTGGTGTAAAAATGTACCAATAAATATTAGTTTAAAGTAAACGAAAATAAAAACTATTCCCGGTATCCAGCACGTATTCCAGTCATTTATATCAGAGAACATGTATCATTCATACTGTATAATATTGCTCAAATACATGTAACCACCACCTTAGTTCATTGACAATGTAGTCATTTCTCAAACACAGCACAACACATGTAATTCATTGGTACCAACCTCACTTCATTAAATTTGCTCCTCTAACACCAGGCTCATTCAACAGAATAAATTTGACCATGAAAGAATTGTAAATCTTGGAAACATTTGGCCTTTAGTGTGAAATGACTCACTGCAGCTCTGAATTTGAAAATGTAAATACAAATGAGCAATTTCTACCAAGCCTTACTATGATTATTGTACATAGTGGTTATTAAATTCCATTCACGATCTTTCATCAAATAATTAATGCAGAAAACATCAAGAATTGGTCTCTTATGTGTTCGTACCTGTAACATCTATATGTAATACAATATTTTAAATGAAACTTTGGAAATATGCCATTTCTCAACAGTAATGGTACGGTACACTAGCGGTCACAAGTGCATTATAGCTGAAATTCAACCTCATATGACAGCTTAAGTAGCATCAGACCATCTAGTATTTATTCACTCTCAAATGTCCTGACAAAGTTTCTTAAAAACAGGGTTACCTCAATGCCCTCCCACATTTATGGGTAGGGAAATTAAATTAAAATACAAGTTAATGATTACAATCATTATTATTCAAATGCTATCACTACACAAGTCAAAGTTCTAATTTATTTTCCTTCTTTTAGAGAGAATTTAAATAGCTTACAGAAGCATTACAAAAATGAAGGGGTTTTTCATACCATTTTACAACTGGTTCACAAGTTTTACAATATCATACAAATTACCACTTCTTTATATCCATTTTATACTTTTAAAATAGTTTACCTATGGATTGACATGCCATTTTTCACAAGGCCAACAAAAGCTGTGTTTGAGAATGACATTGTGGATACAATTTACACACAGATCACTATTTGAAGTTATTCCAAATGTAAAATAACATTGACTATGAAAGCACTCGCCATTTTTCTTCAAGCTTTGAGCTTTGATGTCACAAGACATTAAAATGTGGCAAGTGTTTTCAAGATTTATTAAATTCAGTACATGTGGCCTTGTTGTACAATTTTTGTTAATTCAGTGAGAACATTTATGCAGTTATCTCCAGTAATTTATATTATATAACAATATTCTGACGAGATATAAAAATGATAAATTTACAACTGTTTTCACATTAAAATGCGCGCACTTAGGAGAGAAGAGCCTCGTACTCAGTGCCCCTCTGTCTTCTGCTCCTGCAAGAGAGAGAGAGAAACATCAGCCATTTGCATAATCTCTCAACAGCTAGTATACATAAACACAAAACACATGTGCAGAAATTTTGTTTTGCAAAGTTAACAAGAAAGTTGAAATAGATTAAATAAGAGAAGGGTAGCATAAAACACACAAGTAGGGACAAATGGGCAGTTTCTTTCACCTGATCCATCCACCTGAATCTGAAATATGATCCACCTGAATAGTAAATATGTAGCTGGGAATTAGACAGGTGCTATGGGCTACTTCCGGGAGACATGTGAATGTTACAAATGTATGTAGTAAATATAAGAGGTAAAAATTAATTGGTTACAGAGGAGGGGTCAAAGAGCTAATATAGCTCAATTCTGTAGTTACATATGGATAGAAAAGCAAGCAGGTAGTTGTCTTATTTTTTTTTTAGGGACCCGAGTTTTATTTTACTCAGCGTCATCCCTTCCTCTCGTTGTAACTCAATTCTGTGACTACAGAATTGCTATATTAACTCTTGGCACATTAGGTAATATTAAAAAAAAGACATGGGGCTTCAATAAGGTCTGAATTATTTTTTTAAATAATTGACATTTAAATATACTGAACAGAGAAGCCAATATTCTTACTCTTGATCACAGCAGAAGAAAGAGTTGATAATATCATGAATGGTACGCTCTCCCTCATCTTGGAAAGCTGCACTTGTGGGTTCCTCTGTGCATTCATTAATGAATTTCATCAACCCAGATTCTGGGAACCCATCATCGTAGTAATTCTGGAAATTATTTTAATAATGAGTTCTATGATGATAGATATGCAAAATATTGTGTATAGCAAATTTCACAAGCTCCAGATTCTATAAAACCTATCTTAGTTATTCTGAGAAGAATTTTAATGGATAATACTGGATGATAATATTGGTCTAAGATATACAATATGGTTTACACAAAGGCTATCAAAACTTCCCATCTATAAAAAAGAAGAAATGAATATAAATGTAATAATTACACATTTGCTGATAAAAATTCATCATAGATTTAAAAGCAAAATGACAGTTCTGCCTTTAAAAGTTTGAAGGCAGAACAAGCTAAATTGAGCTAAAGTTAAACAAAAACTGATAACGTGTACATTAAATACCTTAATGGTTTCATAGGCATCCATGATAATGGCAATAAATAGGCTTAGGATGACGTATATGAAGAGAGAAATAAACGAGTAGAAGTAGATGCGGGAGAACCACCACACCACCGGGTCCCTTCCAGACGTTGAAGAAAACGTTGCAAACATGTCATCTCCATTGATGAGAGAAAATAGACACTCCATTGTCGAAGAGAACGACTGAAACTGGAATTAAAAAATTAATCAAATCTTCATGTTAAGCTATTAAAATGATAAATTATATGTTCAATCCCCAACTGTCCAATTGGATGGGGTACCATTCCTTCCCTCTATTATATATAAATCTTTATCCTTACATCCCCAAGTGCAATAGTCATAATGGCTCAGTGCTCTCTACTGATAATTGCCTCACCCTAACCCATCAATATAATATTTCATTACCAAACAAACTAGAATCAATATTTTTTCCCAAATTGTGCAGAAAATACACAAATTTGCTCTAAAAATTAAATCTTTGTTAGCATCCACACAATTTCAATTTAATAATTTAAACTAGACTCTGCATCAATGTCAATTTGACTTTGGTATGGACAATAAAATATTTTCATGTCAAACCTACCTTGAGATGATATGGACCCAGAACAAGCCAACCACATAAGCAGTACCCAGCAAACACCATCATCAGACATATAGAAAACCGCATCACATTAGGAATGGCCTTCTTCACAGTCAGGATTAGCACCTGAAACAAGAACAAAGGTTACATTCACATGGTACTTTTAATCAGAGCCAACACTGTCAATTATTATATTTAGTTCTATATTCCCTGGAATGTCACTCAGTTTGCTATAGTCTTCTCTCAGCTATAGATTCTGACTGGAACTAACCAATTCAAATCAATCCTTGAAGGCAACACAAGGTACTGTATAGTAAGAATTTTTGCTAGGGGGGGAATACATTACAAATGTTCACTAATTCGAAGCAAAACTTCACAAGTCAACACATTTTCTTGTTATGCCTTTGACCCATACTCTAGATAACAAATATCTACAAATTACTAATCATCCAAATCCTACAATAGATTGTACATTTATTCCAACATTAGACTTTGCTTTTGACATTTTAGCTCCTTACTGCAGATAGTACTCATGTTAAGTCAACTTCCACTTAATGCACACATTTCCTGCACAGGTAAGTTAACAAAAAATTTAACTTTGCTAACCCCCTGCCTCCCATTAAGCTCACAATTATATCCACATATACCTAATAATATTTTCATCGATCACACTATCTCTCTACCTAATCTTTATTTCCTCATTCCTACTACTGTATATATTTTTATTCCCTAACTGCATTCCATATTCTTAAAGAATCTTAGTACAGTAGTTCTAAAAAACTTTCTATACGTTCTACTTCATAAATACTGTATAACCCTGGAACTATATTGCCACCTGAAAACATAGATGGATAAAAGATGAAGAGTACTGCCTATACAGTACTGTACAGTACTGTACAGTACTGTACAGTACTGTATAGGCAACATAGAAAATAGTTGAGAATTTCACAGTTGGAAATGCAAATATAATTACATTGTACGTCGCAAAGAATCCCAGGTATCTCAGGCATCCAAACCACACAAGTAGGTTTCCGAGACCAAGGAACAGCGAGCAAACATTCCATGTGTCTAAGTAGCCTTCGTAACTCTGGAAAAGAAAAGATAATTTTAACACAAAATGTATGATGTGTAATGGAGTAAAACTGCATTTATATCCTTATTAACAGTGGGACATCAATTATAAATGAAAATCAACAAATGACACTTGGGTCAGTTTTAAATGAAGGCAGTGTCCTTTTCACATTGATTTTAGTCTTTTGTTTTAATATCATCATCTTGGTGGCAAATATAGATGTGTCTAGTTCTATATCTAAACACATCTAGTGTCTAGACACTAGCATGTCCCATTCTTCAAAATGCTTTTTTAACCATTGAAGTCACTTCAGTGGATTTTGCATTTAATGCAGCTGCTTTTGTTGGTTGAATGTTGAGTTTGAGTTCGACAGGTAAGGTAAGGCTAAATTAGTCTATTTTTTTTCCATCTTGAAGTCTTTGTTGGTGAGTCAGAGTTGCTTCTGGAAGTAGAGTGGAACTGGCTCTTAAAGCAAATAGATTTCCTATTATGCCTGCTTCTTGCTCTGGATGTACATGGTGGGAAGCAGGCGGAAATTTTCCGTTGACCAAATCTATATATATTTTGATGTATACAGGTGAATTATGATGTATACAGGTATACTAAATAATTCGGCATACGTATTTTCTTGTAGGTAGATGCAAGTTTACCTGTACCAAGCAGTGACCAGTCATCTACTCTACTGATTTTTTTCCATATCACATTGTAATCTTACCTATTATCTCCAATTATCTAATCTATTTTTTAAATCATTCTATTAGCCTTTTCTACTCCAATAACTTGTATATATTGCCTACTTTCTTGTCCCAGATTTACCATAAACTCCATAATTACTTTTATACCTCATTTGCAATAAATCAACTTTTTCTAAATATGAAGAAGCATATTGGTAAATTATTCATCAAGCAAAGATCTAAACATTATGAAGTCATAAAAAGGCTAAAATTCTCCTTTCGCAGAAGATCAACAATTTTGCAACACACCATGAGCAAGTAATTCATTCAGATTTTGTCCCGAATATTACTGTTCAAACTTATTACAAACATTAAAAATTAAATCTAGATTTAAATAAAATACATCAGCTAAGAATACATTCATTTATGATATATATAACTAAAACTAATAAATTCATGCAACATGTAATCAATCATTGTGCAAAGCCAAAGGACAATAAAACTTAAACGAGCAAAACCAACAGAACGACCACAATATACGGTGCAGAACACAATAGTAATTCAGACTTACCAACTGTATACTGCTTTTCACAAATTCAGTGTAGTTTGTGCGCAAAAACTACACCCGCCCATGCAAAAAGGAACAAACCATTATAAGCAGTAACTTCAGTAAGTGGTAGAAACCCTATCAGCAAAATTCATCTAATGGAGATGCATTTGTTTTCTTAAATGAAAGCAGGTAAGTACACTAAAGATATAAAGCAAGTTAGAAAACACAACAAGCAGTTAAAACAACAGTCAAGAGATAAACCAGGTAATTAGCAAACCAAAGCACAGCTGACTAGAGAAATGGCAGAGGAAGTGTGGGGAAGGGGGGAGGGGTCTGCAATTTGGCACTTCACTAAGCTCCATTTATACCAATTTAACATTAATTTGGCATACTGTGCATGTAAGTAATAAACAACTGGCATATATGGAACAAAAATATAGTTATAAAATACTGTATTTAGAAAGTACCAAAGCAAAAGTAACAACCAAAAAAATATGGGGCATTAAACCTAAACTCTGATGGAATATCAGAGTATGATCAAAGGCTTATAGAGCCTTAGGCCTTACAATGGAAACTGAAATCTGCACATTTGCTAAAGGTTTCCTCCGCTGTCCAAAACTACTACACCACACTTTCATAAGGAAATTATCTGTGACTAGTGTTACAAATATTAAGCACTTGTTGTGGGATACATATAGCACCTACCCGTGCCTCCTCCTCCTCAAGTAAAATCTGAAGGAGATAAGGAATAACATTCAGTTATCTCTGTACTCCAAATTGAATATAATATGGGTAAAAGAAGAAGAAATCTACATGCTTACAATCAAAAGAATCGCATTAAAAAAAACAAAAAACTTCAAGTTCATATATATAATTCTATGTTTTAAACATATAACTTTATACTAGTGCTTTGAGTCGGTGATTGTTTTTTGCAATCTATTACACTCATTGCACTATTACAAAATAGTGCAGTTTCAATAACAGCGATTGGATTACCTAGGTCATAGGTAGGTAGAACGAGGGAGGATCTAGGTCTGGGCTCAATTTCAGGTTTTTTACACAAAGCTTAAGCTGCCTTGTCTATATCATCATACCAACTCAGTACCTACATGGTACTGAGTTGGTATCCATACAAAATGAGATTTTGAAACGCTTGCCGTCAATTATGTTAATAATGGACGTTACAACATTCCAAGTATCTATTTTGCACGTTGGGTTTTCAAGTGCTTGAGGACTAAATTGCAGAAAATCACTTCTGTAACACTTCAGTGTTTCGATAGCTAGCCAGCGTAAGCATAGTACTCATACGGTCGTAAATTATTCATAAAAGAATCAATTGTGTAAAGTGTTGTTGCTTTGAGATGAACTCATTTTTAAATGAACAAATCCACGAGGGCCGTGACCCGTGATGAGGATTCGAACCTGCGCCCAAGAGCATCCCAGACGCTGCCTTAATCGACTGAGTTGAGAGATGGTTTTGATGCATCACGCAATTGTGAAGTGCATGCATCTGTGTGTAGTGAACTCATTTTTTATTACTCATTTTGCTGATTGTGTATGATACTTGTATTAGAGGGTACATATACAGTATAGTGGAATATTATTTGTTAGAATATTGCATACAACAGGAATATGAGGTTGACAAAAGTTCTACCAAAGTGTAATCTGTTTTGCCAATCTGCAAAATAGATTACAGGTTGTTCTTGTTACGGACAAATGTGGTCCAAGTAGTACTGGCTACTTAAACTGTACTGGCGATTTTCTCAACCTTTGCACAGGTCATGTTTGGCTACACAATTCTTTCACATATGATGGGGAGTTTCAGCTCTTACCCGAGGGTGATTCTTGTGCATCCGGGGCTTGTGCTCCAAGATTTATCTTCATGGCTTCATTTTGAATGGTTTCTAATGCTTTCAGCTAAGTGCTAAGAAGATTTATAAGGTGCAGGATATGGTAGTCAACTAGGGACCTAATGAACATTATGTAGAACATTCTGCCTTATTTATCATTAATATATAGACTTGCTTATCAGCAAGCATTTTCAGAGGTTTTAGTTTTAAAGCTGAAGGTGCAATTTGCTTCCAATTTCACTATTAATACTAAGAAAATCAACTGAAGCCCCGATGAGGATTCGAACCTGCACACTGAGTACTCCCCACAAGCATGCACCCTAAACAACTGCCATGACCACTGGGTACTTGGGTGTACAAGTTCAAATCCTCATCATGGTTCAACTGCCTTTCTCATCGATACATCATGTTAATGTGATTTCTATACACACTATTAATACTCATGACGAAGGATTTGTATTGAATTTGGGTTTCAATGTGACTATCACTGACAATGGGGTTGGTGGGTTTTTCTCTGCATCGCAGATGACAGCCTCAGTGGCTTGAGTTGATAGGTAAGTTATCATTTTATGCACAGATGATGTGCCCAATTCAAAGTATTATAACTTCGTATTGGTATTTTTTATTTTATTTGATATTTAGATCTTACTGCGTATAATAGTATTATAAATACTATTCACACCCTTATAAATGACTGAAGTAGTTCTGATACTTAAAAAACCCTAATCTGTGTAAATACATCATAAAAAAAAAGAAGCCAAAATGAGTTCCCTACTGTATTAAAATCAGCTTGGAGATCAAGAAAGGATACACGATTCCTTTCCGTGAAAGGACGGCTTGCTTACAGAAATGCAGTTTTACGTGGTCTACAATGCTCTGCTATATATAGTGCATGATCATGCATGGACTTCAGGCATGAGTCACAAAAGGAATGCTGTCCTCTATTCTTAGGTCTAGCCACTTAGCACCTACTGCATTTGCAATCACACATCCTTAACAAAATTATATAATTTAGCATCTTATAAATACAGTATACCAACTATAAAGTGAAGCAAGAGAATATGCGGCAGTAAACTACCAGTAAGACTAATACCCACCTTGCTCTCTAGGCCAATCTTCAGGAATGATCCAATGATGATTAATATGTCATTGATACAAATCAGCACATACCACAGATTGACAAACTCCAATTTCTCGGTCAGAATTAGTTCCCTACTACGGTGCTCTCGGAAATATTCAGTTGTGCACTGAAAGAATATACATAGTATTTTATTAAACAAAAAGGTACAAATTAATAGTAATTAGTCTGAATGCAGGATATGGCTCAAGAGATATGCCAGCAATATCCACCTCTTTTCAGTGTCCCTCAGTAAATGCAGCAAATTTAGAAATAGTAATTTAAAGTTCTAAAGATGGAGTGGTATTAAACAAGCCTAAAACATCTTGTAAAGTAGCAGAGGTGACCTGCCACAGCAGATGTGGGACAGTCGGTAGTGAAGAGTAATGGGGTAGAGAAACAGTTAGAATATTAATAATGAGCAGAATGATACAGTCAATCTCATGATGCCCTGCTTGTTATATTTAAACATGTTAATGATTATCATATATGATGAGTTTGATTGCAAACTGCCTTGCTTACTAAATTGAGATATGGAATAGAAAATACCATTTTGTACAACCCCTGCTGAGGTTATGTACATATAAAGTATTAATAAACTCTTGGTAGAAAATTGTCCCAAAAATGGCTAGAGATTTGAAGCCCGATTAAAATTTTAAGCGACTGAAAAATATGACAATTTTGGCACAAAACACATTACATCAATATGATAAAATACATTTAGCAGCCATAAACATTCTAATATAGATAACACGTTACTAACTTTTCGGAGGAGCTGTGCTCGATAGATGGCCCTGATGCACATAGTCAGCGAGGTGATGCATATGGCGATGGTGGTAATGTTGATCACTGACCTCCACACCTTCACGGAAAACAACATATTAAGAATAACTATAAAAGTTTCCTAAAACTTGTTATATCACAAAATGTAGGTAATATTCCAATACATTGCTTTAGTACGTCATGTTTTGTTTTTTAAACACACAAGACTGGATTGACCATGAAGGATTTTGAAGTTTTAAATATACAGTATATGGGGGATAAATTCCTGCTATTTAAACATGTCTGTATAGTGAAAAGGAATTGCATATGATAATGAAACCACACATCAAAAGATGGAGAAAAATGACATTTCAGGTCAGTCCTGGACCATTATTAAATTGTGTGAGAGGAAGAGAGAATGTTGTTCTATATTAAGCTCCTCAGAACAAAATGTTCCAAGTAGCATGGACTATGATGAGCCCGTAGTGGACTTAACGCTTGTTCCGGAAGAGAGGAAGGAACAGGCAAATAAATAAGGAAAGAGTGAGGCGAGGAGCAGGTAAGAGAAGGTAATTTCAAGAAGGTAAGAGTAAGGTAAAAGGTAAGAATAGGGTGAAAGGTGTTGACCTTTCTCTTGACCTGATCTCTTGATTGAAGAGACAGCAATGTTTCGGTCCGTCCTGAACCATTATCAAGTTGATTGTGATAAGAATAAAAGGTACGAATGGGCTAGGGCAAGAATAAGAGGAAGGTAAGAAAAAGGTGAAGGGGGGTAAAATCTGTTTTCATGTTTGTTTCAACATGAAGTAGAAAAAATCTTTAACATGAAGATTTAAAAAAATTGGAATTATTCAAATTTTCCATAGACCATTACTGAATCACCTTCTAGTGTGTGGTCTGGTCAAATGCAATATTAAAATTACAAATGCCCATTATTTAAAAAACTTACAAATGATCACACATTGTAAAATAAATGCACCTACTTCAAGTGTTTTTGCCTCAGAGACCACGTGCACTGATCCATCACATTCTAACACACGAGCGCCCACTTGCAAATCCACAACCATTTGCCCATCATGGTCACGATTGCTGAACACAATCTAGAAAAAATTATACTTTATACATTTGTAATTTTTAGAAATGAAAAACCAAAGCAGATAATGAATGTTGATTAAGGGGATAAAAGCCCTAAGCATCACAATTACTATTATGATCTTTATGTAGTGTTCAACAGGTTCAAATATTAAATCACATCAGAAACTTATTTAAGGTGCCTTTCTGGCCACCTCCCTTTACTCACCCTGCTTGTCATCTCGTAACATTCTGGGGTATCAAACGGCAAGTTGACCCTCAGCTTGACTGTCTTCAATACAAAATTCAAGTCTGCACCCAGGAGGATGTTAAAATCCAATGTAAAGTTGTTGTCTATCAGGAAAGTCTTCATTGACCACTCTGTTTTATTGGTCTCTGATAGTAATGGGATACTTATACAGGCTGCCAGGAAAAAAAAAAATAGTTTAATTTAATTTTTATGACTTCAACAGGTAAAAGCACTAACCTATAAACAAACTATGAACAAATCTACAAGAACCGTGACGAGGGTTCGAACCTGCGTCCGAGAGCATACCAGACGCTGCTTTAATCGACTGCGCTACGACATGGTAAAAGAATTGCAACCAGAAGTTGCAATGCAGTGTCTGGGATGCTCTCGGTTCAGGGTTTGAACCCTCGTCACGGCCCTTGTGGACTTGTTCATTTGATGCATCACAATATTGTGATTTCTGTGTGTAATTCAAGAAAGAATAAAGCTCTCTTCAGTATCTACCCTTAAAAATGCAAAATTTTACAGTAAATGCTGCTCCAGAAAAATAAACAAATAAAAACTTTAACTTACATCTGGTGGTATTATCATCAAGAACATACGAGTTATTGTTAAAAAATGCCTTGCCACTTCGGTAATGTGTGGCACAGAAGTAAGGCAACACAATGCTTCCATTCTGGTACTTATAGGCATATGCTCCTATGGCGTCTTTCTCAACATTATTATACTGAAAATATGAAACAATAACATCAAATCAGGCTAAGACACTTAAAGGCTACTTAAAAAATGAATTCCCCTATATGTATTAGATAAATAAGCCCAGATTAACACAAAGGAATGTTGCTGAATGTGTACAGCATGTGAAATCAATGAAATCATGAGAACGTGATATGGCAAAATATTGAAGGCGTTCAGGGATGCAGGTTCAGTCCTACTGTACCTCCAATATTTTCAAATGTATCTCAATCGTTAATCATAATTATGTATAGTACAAACAAATTTAGTGTTAGAATAATAACCCTACATAATATACATCCAAATTTCAAATGGAATACAGTACACTTCAAAAATCATGCTCACCATGAGTACGGCATAATCTAAGTAGCCAAAGAACTCAGATTTTTTATAAACGGCTAATGCACCATCAGCTGGTGGATATGCTTGAATTTCTCTGGAAGAGTCCCAGCCTTGGAGGAACAAGTGTGAAAATGAGATCTTTGTGTCCCAAAGAAAGTTGACGTGATTGTAGCGTTGATGGGCAAAGAGACACAACTGAAACAGATATGCACATTAGTGATTGCCAGAGACCAGTTGGTAATTAAAAAAATTAAAACTGATAAATCATTAATAAATTCACTTGCTTATACATTTAAATTACCAGCAATTTCTTTTAAAGCAATTTCATCTAATATATTAATTGATCTACATTTAACATTTGCAACAGAATACAGAAAGTAGTATACTGTATACACATTGTTTAAAAATATGCAGCCTTTCACATTTGGAGCGGTACGATTTATGATTTATGTTATCAATACATTTACTAGGCATTTTAGCAACTTGACCAAGCATGAGAAACTTGGTTGGTAATGTGATTAAATGGGATAAATACAAAGTACTCACCTGTACTGTAACAATAATAATTTTAATTATTTGTAACAAAAGCTTCCATGGGAATCGTCGTCGAGCATGCCATTTCTGCATAGGGTTCATAAAGAAGAATCTGTGGAAGATTAATTCTTTGTTTTACAGTGCTGAACACATTATTAGTGTTGGGTATTCTATACCAGAGAGCAGTATCCTATGGAGAATTTTTTTTACTCTATGTACTGTCTACGCAAATATTCATTTATATGCACAAAAAATTATTAAAAATAATAAATAAGACAATTATATTACATGCTATAGTACAGTGCAGTTAATCATAGTATTGTCCTTACTTGAGTCTGCGTCTCATCCTTTCAGCAGTTATATCAGCGTTGAAGAGTCCTGTTGTAGAGCCAGTACTAGTGGTGGATCCAACGCTGTTTACGCTGGATGTAATTGACCCATAGTGTGAGACGCCATTGCGCTCGGCTGTTGTCACTTTGATTTCAGGTACAGCTTGGCCTAATGCCTGTGCCATCTTCTCCAGCTCTAGAAATCAAAATACACTATTACAATAACGATTGGACATAAAATGACCAATCCTTACTGAAAACAACTTCCATAAATGTCAATGTCATCTTGCAATCAGCACACATTCCACTCCAGTCACATTCACAACATCCTGACTGAATATTAACAGAGATGAGCAATGACTAGCTGGCTGGCTGTGAATATTGCTTACTATGTGCCAATGTCTGAAAAATCAACATATCTGAGAATAAATGTTGAAAATAAATCCAAAATATATACACAGTGTAGTATGATGGAATCAAACCCATAACTCTAATCATCTCTGGCACACATTATTTATTCAAAGATTCATTATCATACTGTGGGTGTGATTCATTATGTGAATCTACTGTATCTGTATTATTTGTGCAATACAGGTACAGCAACACCTCAGCTTATGAATACCCCTATTTACGAACTTTTTGGGTTACAAGCCAAATTTCTTTGTAAAATCCGAATTGAGTTACGATCTTTGCCTCGGGTAACGTAGTTTGTTGATAGGTACACATAGAAATCGCAATAGCATGATGCATCAAATGAACAAATTCACGAGCCGTGACGAGGATTCGAACCGACGTCCAAGAGCATCCCAGACGCTGCCTTAATCGACTGAGAATCCTTAATCAACCGAGTCGGTTCGAATCCTCGTCACGGCCCTTGTGGATTTATTCATTTGTTGGTACAGGGTATGTGTATAGCTGACAGAATTTCAGTGTTTTTCAGATTTTTGGGTATTTGAACATAAAAGTAATTATTTATATATAAGCACTGAGCCACAACCAGGTTCTAGTGGTACTCCTGCAAAACATAGGAGAGAGAGTACCTGAGAGAGTACCCAAAGTCATCACTGCCTGATGTTATAATGACTTCCCTTTCCAAACACAAACACCTCTTCTTCCCCCCCTCCCCACTGTCTTCCATATGGAAACAAAGTCATCAATAAAGGTAAGCAATAACTTGTACATACCTTAGTACTGTATTAAAGATTTGGGTAAATTAGGTATAAAATTTGATTTTATAATTTTATAAATATAAACTTTTATAGTTAACTTTACTCTATTTACTTTACTATTTACTTTATCTTTAACTTTATAAAAGTTAATACTTTTGGGAGTGTGGAATGGATTATTGACCAGACCACACACTAGAAAGTGAAGGGATGACGACGTTTCGGTCCGTCCTGGACCATTCTCAAGTCCTTGAGAATTGGACTTGAGAATGGTCCAGGACAGACCGAAACGTCGTTGTCCCATCACTTTCTAGTGTGTGGTCTGGTCAACATACTTCAGCCACGTTATTGTGACTCATCGCCTGCACGTGGAATGGATTAATTCAATTTACATTATTTCTTATGGGAAAATTTGCTTCAGTTTATGAGTTTTGGGTTATGAACCGTCTCTGGGAACGGATTAAATTCGTAAGGTACCACTGTACATGTAATTCCACATTTAATACTATAAATAAGTACTATATCATATTTGCAGAGAATTATAACCTAGCTTAACTCTCAAAGATGTAATATGCACAACAAAAACACAAAATGAGTGATGCACCATGGACACTTATGGATGATGGATCACTTATATTCAGGATACTGGGTGTACTTATATTCAAGAAATGCACAAAGAATCTCATTCATATTTTCTCTTACTGTGACTTAAATACAAATGAGAAATACAGTTTCCTACTTGTTCACGAATATGTGATATGCAGCAAAAACTACCCAACATAAGAGTGCAACCATTCCATTCTCCAATATAATGTCACCTGAAAGCTGATGTTCTCGTCTTGATAAATAAGGGTTACTCACTTTTAAGAGTAGGAGGGGAAGGCCAGGAAAACCGAGAGCACACAAGGTAAGCAATTTGATTATTCTCAAAGTTAATACCAACCATCCACACAAAAGTTCCGCACCACACACAAGTTCACCGTTTTAAATTGTGAAAATCTTCACAATTTACATTATTTGTAAATTTATACAATTTACATTATTTGTAAATTTATACAATTTACATTTGTAAATTTATACAATTTACATTTGTAAATTTATACAATTTACATTATTTGTAAATTTATACAATTTACATTATTTGTAAATTTATACAATTTACATTATTTGTAAATTTATACAATTTACATTATTTGTAAATTTATACAATTTACATTATTTGTAAATTTATACAATTTACATTATTTGTAAATTTATACAATTTACATTATTTGTAAATTTATACAATTTACATTATTTGTAAATTTATACAATTTACATTATTTGTAAATTTATACAATTTACATTATTTGTAAATTTATACAATTTACATTATTTGTAAATTTATACAATTTACATTATTTGTAAATTTATACAATTTACATTATTTGTAAATTTATACAATTTACATTATTTGTAAATTTATACAATTTACATTATTTGTAAATTTATACAATTTACATTATTTGTAAATTTATACAATTTACATTATTTGTAAATTTATACAATTTACATTATTTGTAAATTTATACAATTTACATTATTTGTAAATTTATACAATTTACATTATTTGTAAATTTATACAATTTACATTACTGTATTTGTAAATTTATACAATTTACATTACTGTATTTGTAAATTTATACAATTTACATTACTGTATTTGTAAATTTATACAATTTACATTACTGTATTTGTAAATTTATACAATTTACATTATTTGTAAATTTATACAATTTACATTATTTGTAAATTTGACATACAATTTGTCATTTACATTATTGCTTTTTGCTATTACTTTTATTAGTTACCGTACATAATATTAATTTTTAATAGTGTGTTTTATCAGTCTAAATTTTATTGTAATTTGTAAAACTTATAGCAAGTAGATATACAGGAGACTTATTATTTTGCTGGTCTGTATATGCTTTATTGAATCTTAACTCCATTGTATCTACCTGCAAGCTGATATTGATCGTGAACTAAATCTGCTGTCACAAATCTACAATAACCAAGAATATTGATCATCACTCTTGCAGGTATTACACAGCAAACCTTGCAAAAAACCAAACTCCAAAATAACCCTAGCCTAACACTACACTACACATCCACCAAGATTTGTTTTTGTGGATTTGTTCATTTAACCCTAGCCTACTCAACCAAAATGTCAGATACAGATGAGGAGTTACAATAACGTGGTTGAAAAATGATGACCAAATCACACACTAGAAAGTGAAAAGACGACGATGTTTCGGTCCGTCCTGGACCATTATCACAATCAACTTGATAATGGTTCAGGACAGACAGAAATGTCATCGTCTCTTCACTTTCTAGTGTGTGGTTTGGTCAACAAAATGTCATCACTTGGTAAACATGATACTGTAATATAAATGCACTACTCATAGCTTCAGGTACAGTACTAGACTGTACTGATCATCCATTATTTTAATAGAAACTATATAATAGAAGGATATATCTATATCCTTCAGGCTACACAGCAAAGCAGCAAAAGGCAATCTCACAAATGCACTGCACAATATAAACTGGTAATCTGAATTCAATAATACACAGGATATAAATTCATTAGTCAACATCTTCCTTTCCAAAACTAAAGCCTCTAAAACCCTCAGTCCCCTCCACACCAAGCAAGTAACTGCCAAAAGATTAAACAACCTCTGGCTCACAAATGGCATACTCAATGCAAGCAATAAAAAAAAACATGAATATGAAAAAAGTTGAGATATACTTATCAATGCTTACCAGTATAATAAGAGCGATACTTTCCTATTACAAGAGTATAGTAGATTCAATGCAAAATGAAACATGAAAAGCACATGGAAAGCCATCTCTAACATCATAAGATCTAAACAACAATCACATAAAACTCACCAAGGATGGTTACCTTCATGAGATTTATAAACGGTATCTAAATTTAATGGTTTCAGTTGGTGCAAACCTTGCCAGAAAAATCCCACAGACCCAGACACGTTACTACGTATCTTACCAGCAGCTATCTTAATTATCTTCTACTTTTATCACTACTGCGGATTTTCACTCTATAAGGAAGAGTGTCATACTTTCTTTTGTAGCCTTAAAAAAGCATGAATAACCTGTAAAACTATCCTTAAAAAATGAAGGCATCCTTAAAAAAGCATAAGGCAACACAGCAGACAAACAATTAGACCAATATCTAATCTACCTATATTATTAAAAATATTTGAAAAAATTATTTGCCAACAGCTCGTAAAATTCAACATATTAAGTTCATCAGTTTTGGACTCCACTACCAAAACCCAATTATTAAGTGTGCTTGATATAATCTATATAGACCTTGACAAAAATAAGTCTCAATTGGACTCATTGACCCAAGAAAGGATAACTACCTTACTTAAACTTCACCTTGATAACCATTCATTCCTGATAATCGTCATTCCTATATATTCCTTGAAGACTATATTCAATCCTATCTTAGTGACAGACACCAATATGCAGTCATTAATGATATAACAAAGAAAGGGACCTTGGATGACGATGATGAAAGGGACCTTTGAGTCAAGATCCATCACTGCACAACGGGTGCAGCAGTCAGAAAAGCTAATCAAACTCTTGGGATAATCAGGTGTACTTTCGAATATAAAATATAAAAGGTAAAGGTTCAATTGTATAAATCTCTGGTGTGCCCCCCACTTAGATTACAGCATCCAAGCATAGAGACCTCATTTTCAGAAGAACATAGCTGGAGATGGTGCAACACTGGGCAACAAAAGTCGTCTCTCGTATCATGAACGCTTGAAGGCTAAAAACACTGCAAACCAGGCATGAGAGGGTGGATCTCATTGAAACTTAAAATACATGTACTGAATAAATTAGATGTTGATCCGGATATTTTCTTCAGAAAGTCAGATTCGGTTTCAAACTCAACAGCTCAACAAGTAGATGCTTTTTCACAGGAACTGCAGCGGGTAGGAACTGCCTACCAGCTGAAGCTGTGACTGTAACAACTGTGCTGATGGTGCTGAATTTCAAAATATACCTGGAAAAGATCAAGGCAAATGAGGGCCATCAACAAGCCACCGGCTGTCCTCGTCAAGGCCACTAGGGTAGTGGCCCTCAGGTCAAACCTTCCCAACTCTACCATTAACCGTAGGAATGCAACAGGGCAGCATCCTAGGACCTCTCCTATTTCTTATCTCCTAGACCCAGGAACTGGTTCCTGTCTCTAAACATTATTAAACCTATACTATTTGCTGAAGATACAACCTTCATCTACTCAGACCCCAACCCACTCACACTAAATAATGATGTAAATAACAAATTAAAGAAGTCCACTCATGCACTGGCAAGTAATTATCAAAAAAAGGCACCAAGCTTTTGTCAGCAATAAAAACAATGACAATTCCATAAACAAGAGACAACTTCAACACACAACACAGAGTATCAAAAGCAGTCTGTATACTTTCTAAAATCAGATATTATGTTCCAAACTCTGCTCTCCTCTCATTATACTACGCAGTAATATATAAATATCAGATTACAGCATTTTTTTCTGATAGCAGATTTTTGCTGGGTGATGATGGGCTTGAGAAAGTTTGCAATGGTTGAACCCCATGCACGTAAGTATGTACGGGTATGTAAGGTGTATTCACCTTACATACACCGGGTTGAACCCCAGTGCATGGGGTTCAACGATCAGAAAAAAATCCCTATAATAGACAAATCCAATATTGTACTTACAAGTACTGTACAGCATTAAATAGCAAAAGCGTCTTTGTTAGGTTAACTGCTGCACCATTTGGTTAGACCTAACCCGTCAATAAGTCCAAAATTACTTGTTAGGCTACATTATGCAGTCAGTGGTGTAGCTAATGTGTCATGCAACAAAAAATAATTATCTTACAGGGTACAGGAGCAGAAGTGTTCCAAGATTTAGGTCAATTGGGTCACTTTCAGTCTTTGAACAGAATATAATCCAATGTTTCTAACTATTACTGAGCACAAAGGCAGACAGTGAAGAAACAATACCCAATCATTCCACTCCACCCAGGATTCAGATTAGTTCACTGCAGGTATCTGCGTTATCGTTAATGATGGTTGCCTAACCCAACAGTGTGCATTAACCTTGAACATTCAGGTAATCAAAAGCCAGCAGTGAATGTTGGATTTAAATTGAATGTTTTGATACACATCGTGAATGTACTTATAATTACAACAGTACAATCCCCAAGATACGTACATAACGAGAGTGCATCATGTATAGCACATTAACTACGAGCCACCATGCAAGACGGAATAGTGAATACACAAACCATCATCACTCTCATTAACCCCAGACCAGGAACCAGATCGCCCTCGCTTCGAGCGTGCACTGATGGGCCTCCTTGGCATGGTCCTATGTGACTTTTGGTGTGGTTTACGGAACAGAGCCTCGTCTCCCTCACCCTGGGAGGACTGACCAGCTGCCTGGCCCGGCGGCTGCTCCTGCTGTCCTGGAGATGACTTGGGCGCCGACTCCTCCTCCTTCTGCTGCTGCAGAGTCTCGTCGGAAGGAACTCTCTCATCCCTCGACCCTCGTCTTCTATGACACTGTCCGTGGTTCGCGGGGTTCATCTTTTCGGTTTAGAGAACATCAAAGTCAGCTCTGGTCAAGGTCAGCTGTAACCCCCGGGAACGACCCACGACACTACTCCGTCAACGGCCAGGAGGCGACTAGCTTCTTTGTTGTTGTCTCTCAGCTGATGCCGTGACGTAATGCTCCATCATGGCCACCAGCATTTATTAGTGTAGTCTTGGAAGGGGTAAATATATTGAAAAGTGTCACTCATTATGTGTGTGAACATGCCACGATAGCATAACATGCACCTACAGCATTATATAACAGCAGCAGATGCGTCAGAGCACAATTAATGACGGTCCAATTAAGTTAACTACATTATTGCCAAATATCCGTTTCCTATCGGGACTCTACCCTCTCCGGGGTAGAAAGTCCCTCTCTGGGACTTTCTATTTTCCTTATATTTTATCAGTACAGGTATGCTGTGTATAAACAATGATTAGTGGAATTAAAAAAGGGTGCCAGGGACCCCTGGCACCCTTTAACCTCCCTCCCATTGTGAATGGTCAAGAGGTTAACAGGTACCGGACAGACTAGCACACTATTGTATTACTTACCTACCGCCCAAGCAGTTACAGTTACCCGACAGACTCGTCCAAGCAGTTACCGGACAGATTCGTCCAAGCAGTTACCGGACAGACTTGCCCGAGCAGTATCGGACAGACTCGTCCAAGCAGTTAGAGGATAGACTCGCCCGCCGGAACACGTACTGGACAGACTCGCACACTATTGTATTACTGTGCAGCAAATGAATTTCTGCGCATTAAACTCAACACTAATCCAACGAGAAAACCTGCATTAGATGCAAAATCCACAGCGACTACAGTAGAAAAGCAGTTGAAGAATGGGACACACTAGTGAACATTCTACATCTATATCCGCCACTAAGATAATGTTAAACATTATGATTTGTTCATAATGTTAAAGGTTAAAACAGAAGCAGAAAAGAAACCAGAGAAAAGGTAACACAGTAACAAGGTTATCTCGAATAACCGAAATATACGGGCTCACTATAGCCCGTGCTACTTGGATGTTTCGTTCTGAGCAGCTAAATCTAAAACAGCAACCAGTCTGTACAGATACATAAAAGACAGTCCGTACAGCAACTGAGGAATAGACAGTTTTTGAATAGACTCAGCACGTCTTTACAAACAACAACATACCTTAGAAACGTTGATAGAATATTTGTATTTTCAAGTCGAAACCACTTCCAAGACAAAATACCTGAGAATTAGCTACCTGTGATAATTATCTACAGACGCGATGTAATCAGCTCTGTTGCCCTGATAACCAATCAATATATCGGGCATTAAGATTTAAGAAAATTATATTGTGTATAAATAAAACGTGATCACATACTAGCTTCAAAAACAACAAACAAAACGTCGTAAGGAAGCCACTAGTGGCACTAGAAGCTACTATTTCTTGTGTACTTACTATTTTTCCTCTGCATGTCAAATAAACAGTAGTAAATTTCACTTCCAAATATAGCACCAAACGTTTAATGCGCTTCACAAAGTTCACACTGTCACTGCCACAAGTGGTGATGGATACCCACACTGTACTGTATTTATGATATTACACTTCACCTAACGCATTCCACCACATAAAAACATAAATTATTTATGACATTACACTTCACCTAACGCAATCCACCACATAAAAACATAAATTAATAAATGATTCTCAACATGGTTTTACAAATGGCCGTTGATGTTTAACAAATTTGCCATCTTTTTATTCCGGCATAGCTGAGGCAGTTAAAAGTGGAAAGGATTGTGATGTTAAGCTTTTGATACAGTGCTACATGAAAGACTGATTAAAAAGAGAGGCTCATGGTCTTGGGGGTGCTATATATTAATTAAGTTGGATTAGGGCATGGCTCTACCAAAGAGAACAGTTAGTATAACTGGGGTTAAGTCAGAGTGGGAAAATGTTGTAAGTAGAGTGCCTCAAGGCTCTGTCAATATTATAAACACCAGTGGGCCTCGAACCCAGAAAGCACAACTACCTTCCAGTAGCTGCCATAACAATAACGTATTGAATTGAGGGAATTGACGGAAGGGCACCACCAGGAGTGGCGCCTGCGGCTTAATTTGACTCAACACGGGGAACCTCACCAGGCTCAGACACCGGAAGGATTGACAGATTGAGAGCTCTATTTAATAACTCTTTGGATAAATTTAGATTTAGCAAAAACTTGGGTAAATACTGGTTCAGTAACAGAGTTGTTGATTTATGGAACCAAATCTTTCCTTTCTATTTATATTATAAAGATATTATAAAGCTTGAATATATTGTTTATAATATACATAAATGATTTACATTCAGGTTTGAGTAGCAACATTTGCAAATTTGCCGATGATACAAAAATCGGTAGGGAAATAAACACGGAAGAAGTCACTTCAAGCCGATCTAAATAAGGTTTTGAAATGGTCAAAGGATTGTAAAGTTTTGAGGCTAGGTAATGATGATAGAGTTACAAGATACGAGCTAGATGGTGTTGAGATTGCGAAGTCGGATTGCAAAAGGGATCTGGAGATGATTAGTAAGAATTTAAAACCAAAGAATTAATGCATGAATGTTCGTAATAAGGCAAATAAGACACTGGGATTTATTAATCGAAGCGTTAGTAACAAGACACCTGGTGTGGTTCTCAAGCTATATCTTGCTCTAGTTAGGCCCCATTTAGAATATGCAGTTCAGTTTTGGTCGCCGTACTATAGAATGGATATAAATTCACTTGAACGTGTCCAGTGTAGGATAATTAAGTTAATTCCCCAAATTAGAAATCTAGCATATGAAGTAAGATTAACAAAGCTTAAATTGCATTCTCTAAAAAGGCGAAGAGTTAGGGGCGACATGATAGAGGTTTACAAGTGGATGAATAGACATAACAAAGGGGCTATTAATAGGGTATTAAAAGTATCAACACAAGACAGAACACGAAACAATGGATACAAATTGGATAAGTTTAGATTTAGGAATGACTTGGGTAAATACTGGTTCGGTAACATGGTTGTTGATTGCAATATCTTTCATAGACAACTGGGAACACTTCTATGGAAGAAATGGAATGTATGCTCGTGATGGGGTGCATCTATCGAGAGCTGGGGTTGTTGCTGTTGCGAACTCGTTGAAAGAAGTGGTTACAGGTGTTTGTTTGGATTTAAACTGTTAGTAGATAGAGGTATGGGAATTGATTTGGAGGAAGGAGATAATAAAAGTATGTGTTTGTGGGAGAAAGGAATTGGCAAAATGATCAGGGAAAGAGAAGGGCCTCAAAATAACAATTCACTTAGGGTATATTATACTAACAGTAGAAGTCTAAGAAATAAAATTAACGAATTAAATGCTCTTGTCTGCACACAAAAAATAGATATTATTGCACTTACCGAAACGTGGATGAATGTAGAAAATAGAGAACTATTAGCTGAATATCAAATAAATGGATTTAAACTATTTCACACAGATAGATAAATTAGACGAGGAGGGGGAGTAGCCATATATGTTAGGGACAATTTGAAATGTAGTCTCAAAGAGGGAATCAAAACTGAGCCACACTCAGAAACTATTTGGATAGAATTATACGAAAAAGCAAATAATATTATAATAGGAGTTATATATAGGCCACCAAATTTAGACAGAATGGAAGCAAAGCATCTATGGGATGAAATATCTAGAGCATCTAGATCTAACAGTATTTATGTCATGGGTGACTTTAATTTTAGTGGAATAAACTGGTTGAACAAAACAGGGAATAGTGAAGCAGAAGATTTTCTAGAATTAATTGACGATTGCTTTCTTACGCAACACATTAAGGAACCAACACGGGAAAATAATATTTTAAGAACATAAGAACAAAGGCAACTGCAGAAGGCCTATTGGCCCATACGAGGCAGCTCCTATTCTATAACCACCCAATCCCACTCATATACTTGTCCAACCCGTGCTTGAAACAATCGAGGGACCCCACCTCCACAACGTTACGCGGCAATTGGTTCCACAAATCAACAACCCTGTTACTGAACCAGTATTTACCCAAGTCTTTCCTAAATCTAAACTTATCCAATTTATATCCATTGTTTCGTGTTCTGTCCTGTGTTGATACTTTTAATACCCTATTAATATCCCCCCGGTTATGTCCATTCATCCACTTGTAAACCTCTATCATGTCACCCCTAACTCTTCGCCTTTCCAGTGAATGCAACTTAAGCTTTGTTAATCTTTCTTCATATGAAAGATTTCTAATTTGGGGAATTAACTTAGTCATCCTACGCTGGACACGTTCAAGTGAATTTATATCCATTCTATAATATGGCGACCAAAACTGAACTGCATAATCTAAATGGGGCCTAACTAGAGCAAGATATAGCTTGAGAACCACACCAGGTGTCTTGTTACTAACGCTGCGATTAATAAATCCAAGTGTCCGATTTGCCTTATTACGAACATTTATGCATTGATCCTTTTGTTTTAAATTCTTACTAATCATAACTCCCAGATCCCTTTCGCAATCCGACTTCGCAATCACAACACCATCTAGCTCGTATCTTGTAACTCTATCATCATTACCTAACCTCAGAACTTTACATTTATCAGCATTAAACTGCATCTGCCAATCCTTTGACCATTTCAAAACCCTATCTAGATCAACTTGAAGTGATAGTGAGTCCTCCTCCGAATTAATTTCCCTACCGATTTTCGTATCATCGGCAAATTTGCAAATGTTGCTACTCAAACCTGAATCTAAATCATTTATATATATTACAAACAACAGAGGTCCCAGGACAGAGCCTTGAGGCACTCCACTTACAACATTTTCCCACTCTGACTTGATTCCATTTATACTAACTCTCTGTTTCCTTTGGTATAGCCATGCCCTAATCCAGCTTAATATAGCACCCCCAATACCATGAGACTCTATTTTTTTAATCAGTCTTTCATGTGGCACTGTATCAAAAGCTTTGCTAAAGTCAAGGTATACAACATCGCAATCCTTACCACTATCAACTGCCTCAACAATGCTAGAATAAAAAGATAACAAATTTGTTAAACATGAACGGCCATTTATAAAACCATGTTGCGACTCAATTATTAATTTATGTTTTTCAAGATGAAGACGAATTTTATTTGCTATTATAGATTCGAGTAACTTTC